TCTCGGCGCAACTCACCATGTCGTGACTTTCTTTTAAGATTCTTTTTAGTGTGAAATATTAATGGCCTCATAGGACAGCCGTAAACCAGATCGCAGGCAACAGCGGACAGATAGGGCACAGAAGCAAGAAGGGTCGCCATTTCGCTGTCGGGTCCTCATCTGATACCAGCGTCCCCGATCATATCATTTATGTGATTGTGGCATAGGACCGTATGCTCCTGCTGTTTCATGTAGAGGCCGGCTCTCTTTCTGATATGTATGCAAGCAATCGACTTATCTCCGCGCCAGATCCTGACCCAGTCATGTTATACGCGTGTGCCTGATGACGATCGTAAGCACTGCTGCTGTCACAGTCGCCTTGCTCAAATATCTGTATGACAGTAACCACAGATGCCATACTAATACCATCATCAGGGCAACGTTATAAAGTGTCATCCTATCGGATCCGGCTTATGCATTCGTTGCTAATTACATCATATAGGTTTAGCTGTTGTTACGTAGGGATGATAAGCTGGCCAGGTGAGGATCTCTGCTATTCTATACACTTCCTTGATACGTAATAGATAGTTGCTGTGTTGTTTTTGGTACAATACAAAATATATTAGCGGAAAGTTAAGGATGATGTGTAGGTTCGATACGAACTCGCGGAAGGTAAAAAGGTTTACGATGCCACTATGTTAAAATGAGAAGTGTGCACATGTTTTTTTCAACATAGGTTTGTTTTAGTAAGACTAAAACATTGATACGGCAGACAGTTTTTCGAAGTGGCTCTCCAACGCATATCCATATTAATAAATTTAACAATGGTAAATTGAACAAGGAAACAGGCCTTTTCGACGGCACCATTGGTAATTTACCTGATTGATTAAGTCGTTTAAAATCATTAGGGCTTGCTTAGTGCTGCTGCTGTACAACTTCTCCAGATGTTTGCACCCAAATTGCGCCATGCGCCTTCCATCCAAGCGGTTTTTAATAAACGAGCCTATGCAAACTTGTCTCGTGAGTTCGTGCCGCTACATCATCTTTCGATACCAGTCTTTCAATTTTTTTCTCTTAGTCCAGCTCGTGTCTGCGGTAGCAAATGTGGCAACGATTCGAGCCCTTCTATTTGCGCCCCCTGGTGCCTTGTGGCTTCTGTAAGAGTTAAATGGGACAGTGTAACAACAATGGTGAAAACTTCAATTAGAAAGGGTCAGTAGAAAGATTACTGATGAACTCATTTTATGACCGAGTCACTTACGTAGATGGCGGATATTTTAGACCAACGTATCAACTTGTAAGAGTTTTGCATGTTGTTGACGATGCCTTAAAAAATCAGACCCATCGCCACTATTGCCGTTGAAAACACATGGGACACGTAGTGGGTGTGCCAGCCAAGTTTCTGGTAGAAAAAGACAAGGGGACGCTGTTTCTCTAAGTCCCGCAAACGATGCGCAGTACATAACTTGTATTGAATAACAATCCTCGAATGATCAGCATCGGAAAGAATTTGATAGCAATAGAACATCGTTTTTAAAATCGGGAATTAATGACCGCCTTTGAAATTGTCTGCAGTTAGATTTACCTAAACGCAATTGTTACAGAGATGAAGATCTCACGTAATCATACGGACAGGTATCGTTTCGGTCGGTACATGAAAACGCTGATTTACAAATGTCATAGCATTGGTGGCAGGAAAAGGTTGTCCGGCAAGCCGGCTGCAAAGAGCCCCACCTGAGGACTTTCCAAAACCGTTAGTCACTGAGTCATAGATTCAACATATACTCGTCTTTATTATCGCCTTTGGAAATCCTCCGTCGTGAAATCGTGCCTTCCGATCGCATTCTGCGATGCCTTCATCTTATTGTTGCCACGTAGAAGTATACTTGCAAGCAAAGTCAAAACGATCCCCATGAATGGAAAAAAGCTTCCTTTCTGAGCAGCATTTTTTTTTTTTTTTTCACTCTGTTAACCTTTCTTTTCTCGTTTATTCATTAGCCTCTTGGCAGCCCACTGTGTCGTACTTAGTCCGTCCTATCCATTTCATTCTACGCCTCTCTCGAGATATCTGTCGCGTATAATAATTAATCAGAAACACACATTTAACTTGTTTGCCGGCTACGCCGCTATTGTGTGTGGGCAAATGTACACCCAAGTCGCGTACCGTAGTTTCAGCATTTTTCCTCTGTAGCGGGATCCTAACAGGCGTGTTCACGTTATGAGCATCAGTAATCAACATGCGTAGCCACGAGTCTGCAGGAAAACGATCGCATCCTCTCAGTACCGATCAATGGCTGCTTGCTAAGCCAGTGGTCTATATTAATCGAACAGTCATATTCAGACCGTTTGATAAATAATATGAACGCGTTCGATGATAGAAACTCGTATCGATAGCGGTATTCTTGCTAAGCGACCAGGAACGGAGTCGTGAAACTCACGAGCAGCATCGAAAATCGACTATTATGATACGTAGTTGTGGTTTAAATCGTCCTAGGAGAAACAGACGGCTACGAAAACATCTTGCGGCTGATCGGTGGCTACGGAATACATCATGGTAGTAATAATAATAACAACAGCTACAAAACCAGCAATTTATGTAAAACGACAGCTGAAAGAACACAAATGACAGTGACTACTAATTGTTACCTGTTGAAGACAGACAGGTTCCGTAACACGGAGCACCAACGGGTGCGTTACGTATAGACGAAGACACACAGAAGTTGTTAATACCTCCAGCAGCTGATGCAGTCTCTGTGTATCAGATTTTGCCGCTGGCTTACTGACGGTCATCGAGCAATTAAGCATCAGGATCATCCTGATCATTATCATCATAATCGGCGTCGTCGAAGTCGTACTCAATCACTATTACCCGTCGCCGCCTCCAAAACACGAAGGTGACAAATAGCTGATAATGACGCTCATAATATTCATGATGACTAGTAACGTATCAGTCCTCACGAACACGCAGGGCGCTGTTGTCCTGTATGTGTAGGGATCGTATAGACGATGCTTGCCCCCATAGTCCTTGCCCACCCTTTATAATACACCACATTATAATAGCTTTTCCTGTCCGATTATATAGCGATCGTAACGTTGGGCTATGTCTCTATTTGGCGGCCGAAGTTTGTTTTGACGAAATGACATTAAAGGAGGAGGAGATGAACACCCTACGCAGCCGATGCTACCGTCACTGGAGCCACGAAATGTATCGTCGAGTAGGCGACGATTGCCGTTAATGAATAGAAGCAATAACTGGTAGAGCGTCTATTGACAACAACCGGTCGCTGGTCGCCTGAAACGAACAAGCATTAGATGCATCTGTCCTCACTGTAGACAAGTAGCATCGGTGACGTGTTAGTTGCTGGCCGACGCAACGAATCGAAACAAGTCAGAAGACCCAAACAAAGTTAGGCTGTATGAGGAATACCCGCAGCCTGCGATGTCGTAACGCGACGTCGGGGAAAATACTGCAATCAAGGGGTGCTTGCACAGTAAAACGGTGCCGCTGAATGATCAGCCTGCCCCCGTGCCTGATCGATGATCTTCTACGAACGCAGCCAAACTGGGGCACTTACAGGACGTACCGCACTATGCAATGCGCGCATTAACCGATGATCAAAGAGACGTTCAAAGAGAACAGGTGACTCTAGAGGAACAGCAGCAACATAGAAGAATTACGGGAACGACCTTTCTAGAGAGCCTGTTTTATTTCTGCTGAATTAGATGCTAGAGCTTCTTTTTCAGACGACTACTCTATTCAAGACTGACAGACGACTGTCACGTCTCGCACGTCACCATAAGCTTATCCATATAATTGGCTGTAAGCATACGCACGTGGGGCTATAATAAGGCATTCTTGATCTCTGTATGATGGCTGCTCATTGGACGCCACAGCAACACCATAGAGGCAAGGGAATTGCTTCGGTAAGAGAACCCTAACGTCACTCTAACGCGACGCGTTGAGGCAAACCATCGAGAGCCCGATTAACGGAAAGGGCAGCTTGCTCAGTCGAAAGCGATGTTCAGTGAAACACTAATAACCATCGCTAGCATTGCTGCTACTGTGTCTGTTGACGCTATCGATGCTGCTGGTGCTAGCGTTGTATTCCCATATTACCTCCAATGGATACGTGAGCGGGGCAGTTGATGGAAACGCGGAGACCTTTTCTGCGTGCCACTTTATTAGCCCCGTTGATGCGTGCGTGGGCGCGCCGAGCTGTTCTCTAGCGGCCGACATCAAGCGACTAGCGCCGTTCACTCCTGTGACGGGAGTACTAAAACTGAGTGCCGCAGAGATACAGAGAGCGCCACGAATGTTGGCGGCGGCGAAGTTGACGCCTGTTCAAAGAAAAAGAAACGACGCGGCAGACGTTGATGGAATGGCACCATACTTAGATTGAGTTCAATTGACGAATTAATAAAAAAAATCATCGATCGTCGTTAAGAGTGCCTCAGCTGCTGCTAGTTGAGCTGGGTATTTCTAGTCTAGCGATTCGCGAACTAAGTTACTTTTAGCAAAAATAGATGTAAACAAGAGTTGAGTACCTGAAGCAGCCTCGTAGAGTGATCGATCAACAACGCAATAATTATTCTCATTGTAGTGATGAAGGCGTTTCCGTGCGGCCGATATCTGGAGATTATTTCTGTATCCGATAGCCGGTATTACTGGGCTTGACATGTACCATGCGGCTGGCCAAATGGAATATTACGAGGAAAATGCAAATGTGATCAAAATGAGTGCGGTAGTCAAGGTCTGACGTTACTTAGCTACTAGTAAGTAGAACAGTGCAATAATAAGGACTCCATACTAGTTTTATGGTTGTTACCGGTGTTTTACATTCGCTACTCAAGCTGTTAGGCGTTACTTCAGACGGTTGGTTCCCACTAGCGCGAAACAGTGTCTTCGCTCGGGTTTGAACCTGAGCTATCAAGAGTCCCCAAGTTGGGCAGGCAGATCAATTATCCGTTGAGTTAGTGGACACGTGTAGAGGTTCTGTGTGTCAGGAATTACAGTGTCTGCAGTAATAACAAACATTTATCTAACAATGTGCCCTGACTGGTCGACGATGATAAATATTTCGACGTCGCTAGATGAGTTGTTCAAGAGAGCTATCGGCCAACGTAGTTCGATGCACTGCGCAGACCTGAAGCCCTGAAACTTCGAAGAATCACCCTAATGTTCCGGGCCAGCGAATGCTGCGATGTGGTTTGATCCGGTCTGATTCTTGTTAGATACTTAAGTGTCTGCTGCAATGGAGGTTTAGTAACGAACAATCAGAGCGAACCTCTCTGTGTGTGTGCGTGTGTGTACGTATCCGCTGATACGACATTTCGGACATTTTCTAAGTCCCTGTGGTGACTACGTACAGGTTAGAAAGGACCGGGATTAGTGAAACCAGTGGTAACGTTGAGTTTGTCAGTGTTCGATCATGCGCTTAGTGGGGATTGTTTTATGGGTCATGAACCCGGAAGAGATTAGGCCCGTGCAGACTGTAGTCAGACCAACCCTGTATAAGCTGCTATAGTGTTTGGATTTTTATTGGGAGTATACCGCCTGTTAATGGCGGCTCTGAAAGGCGAGAAAAACTCGGGCGAAAATACAGGAAAGCTTTGCTTAATCGATGCGTAACTAAACATTATCTGACAAATATGCTTTTGTCCAAGAAGGTAATTTTCATTTATCGGGAACTTGATGACCGCGTTTAACTAGATAAGAAATGAGACCTCTTATTCAAAAGATTTATATAGTGGTTACAATATAATAGAAGGCTCTTTGTAAACTAATATTGTTACTCGTTATGGAAAAATTCTTAACCGCTCATTTTGGCGTAGACAATCCCAACCACCACAACAACAACAATGCTGCCATTTTTCGCTTAGGTCCGAGGAGGCCAATCGCCTCCTCGGACACATCTGTTGCCTTGTTCGTCTCTACGTAGTCTCTACGCATACCTTGTGTTTGATAGAGAGCCCTTCGAGTAGAATTTAGAAAGTCTGACAAAGTACTATGTGCAGAGGATTATTTTCTAGATATAGCATAGATTTATATTGACGATTAAGAAATCCTTAGTCGATTTCTGCGAAGTAAGGTTCAGAGTTAAATACCGATGGCGAAATGATAGTAGATTCTATTTCAAGAGACCTCAAGGGGATCAGTTTTTGTCAATACATGTTTCATCATAAACTTAGGACCAACTGACGCACGGTCAACTACCGTTCACCTAGAACCCATCCCCAACCCCAGTGCTCAAGGTTTTCACTTGGGTATTTGCTACTACCACCATGATCTGCACATGTGACAGCTCCAGATTGCCTCATAGCAACATCCTTCCACGCCATCACATTACCTTCGCACCCCTTGAGGGGTCCGGTGCGTCACACGTCAGAAATTGAGTTAAGTACAATACTACAGCGCCATCCATTTTTTGGGGGCTAGTTGCTTTGGCAGGTGAGTTGTTACAAGGGGACAGAGTCTTGTAATGGAATCTAATATACAGCACCAGTCGATTATACGTAGCCGAATGACAGGGGAAACATTAACCTGGCTGGGTCCTAAATAAAATCATTAACATAATGACCCTTTCGATTATCCTCATAGGCGTTTCTTCTCATGATTGATGCGGACATCCATAACCGTCAATGTAGGTTAAAGCGGATGGTTTTCTTCTGTCCACTATATGGAATCAATTGGCCTACATGAAACCCTACTAGAAGTAACGAGACGAATGGAATATTACCGAAAAACAAAAATGACAAATTTTCCTTTTGTACTTCGCAGATTTTTTCGTATTCTGTCTCATATCTCTTCCCTTTGCTTCTTGTTGCTCTGGTCACTCCCTCCAGAGCGCTGCAGATTTTTACTACTGACAAAATGTGTTTACATTTGTTGTTTTCTTCTCATTTTTGTTACTTTAAAAACTCGCTACGGTCTATAGTAAATATCAAGAACTTACCAACCCATTGAATAGCGTCATTCATTTTTATCATTGAATTCCACTTACTGCGAATTTAGTACTTTTCTTGTGTTTGTTTTCTTTATTTACGTAATTAAGAACGTAGAGAATCAACAGCGTACCAAACAGGTCGCTGCCGGTACAGCGTCCGTAGGACAGCGTCAGCTGTTCGCACTCAGTCAAAAGCACCATTAGGATCGTGACCGTGTCCAACCGTCAACACAGTAATCACTTTACAGACCTTACATTTTTCTATAAGGTTGTTTCGAGTATTTAATTTCTATGTCTGTTTCACAGATATACCTGTCTTGTCTTATCTATCTCTGTCTTACATAGGTTTCATCTCAGTTTGTTAGAAGATAGCCCTAAACATCGCTAATTAGTAGACAGCAGCGTGAATGGACTACTGAAAAAGTTAGACGGGCAAAGTCCAGTGAAATCGGACTGTCGGATAGAACAGACGCCGAGGGCCATTTCTGAGAATAAATTTGCTTAGAATTATTCCAAAATCGTCTTTAAATTTTCATGTAAATTGAATATATACATTATTGTGGATTATCTAAATATTAAGATGCTCAGGAGCTATGGTGATCATTGCTGTAAAACTAACAGAGGCGTTTTCGCAAATTCTAAGAAAACCAGTCCATGTTAGATTTATCCTTGACGAGTTTGTTTTAAATTATCGTTATTCAATGTGAGATTGATGATGTAACTAGCGGGCACAGGATTGATAGATAAATTGCTTTGCCCTTTGTCCATCAAGTTTTACGTCCGGTATCGCCGCTAAGCATAGTTCATCAGACGATTGACTCCCAACACGAAACGGAGTCTGCCTATGCCCGGATTCGAACCGACACCACAACGACCCTAGGTAACAGTGTGATTTCCTCTGACTGGTATGCCTCGTCGTTTTGTAGAGATTGAATATAATGCAGAGTTAGACGGGCATCGTTAAACTATACTACCGGTAAATTGTTACAAAAAGTTTTGACGCTCAGAGAATGTCTTTTTGAATCTAATTAGTGTTATATATATAGTTAGGTCTCCAACCAACTCCAGGAACGGTTAACCGCCCGACGGTTTATGAATCTCCTTCCTTTGTAATTGCGTTTAAAACGTGATTTGCTAGGTGGCCATAAGTTCGGAAATAGGACACAACTTTGAGCACCGATGTACTAACAAGGAAACAAGTTTGAATGATGGGCCAAAGTAGAAAAGTTTATTTAATAGTTTCAATCGTTTATAGCTATTCTCCTTCACGAATCCTCCACAACAGTTTTAGTGCCGTTTACATCTATGTAACGGCAACAAAGGCAGTCAGGTAGACATCAGAGTTAAAAAAAAGGTAGCCTCAAACGCAACGATGGGGGGTTTGAGCTATCTTGTACGTCTGGCATCGAAGCCTACACTCAGCGTGAGCTCGGCGGTTGATTTAACATGCGCTAATTTTAGAATTAGATCGTATAGGATAATAGATGAACTAGTTCAACGTTAGCCGATTAAATTACCGGCAGAAGCTCTGACGTGACGTTAGTACATTAACTACGTTTACGGCATTAGCATAAAAAGATTATGAAAAAAGGACAGACGCCAAGAAGAAAGACGCCAGAAAGACCAACATATTTCAAGCAGGGCTTTTTTTAACGGGATAGAACAGAAGTTTGCTTGAAAAGACCACCGTGAAATTTAATTTCTCGTTCGTTATTTGAACAGATGTCGAATGAAGACCCTCTAAACGCTCGGAAAAGCCATTTAAATCGAATATACTGCTTTGAATACGGTTCAATAATGGACATTGTTTCTTTTCTTTCAGATAGCGTTTGTTATTTTTGGCTAGTACTTTTATCCCGTTAATCCAAATTCCTTATGGGCATCTTTCGCCCAGAAACTGATTGTCAATACGTAGTAAAGTTCACTCTTGGGTCGAACTTCATCAATTATATTTACGTTGCCAATAAAGTCATCTTCCGTTTTACAGATTCTTCCAAAGGTAGTTTGAAGGGACACACATCAACTTGTGAACAGGACTGATAGGTTAGTTCAATGCTGAATTCAGGATTTTGCGCTGGTAGGGTTAATTTTACCGCCACTATTGGTAGATTCAGACACTTGATGTGGATGGGATAATAATTAGAATACAAAGGCCTGCCAGAAAGACCTGGTGTTCAAAGATTACCCGGTGCTGATCAACATTCCAAAAAGTTGTCTCAGCTAGTGCCCGATTAAACCCATGATCAACTGGAAATATATATCCACACATGCAGTATAAACTTTAGATATGATAGGAAGTTTTGTATTTAGTTATTTCCAAAGTCTTAACTTAAGACGTGGCTTAAATATACATATACACGTCAAGAACATATAAAATTGTCGTGTTTTAAATGGTTGTTATTAAGATGATGATTATATTATAATTATTTGTATTTTTATTATTACTATTGTATTCGAACTTGAAATGATAGAAAAAATCATACGGACGATTTAATATATATATATATATATATATATATATGGTGATAGCTACCTATATTATCAGTGTTACATTATATGTACTTAAATCTGAGAGGGGTTCTGTGAGTCGATTGAATCACATCGTTAGTAGCGTTGCTATTACTTATTATATATATATATATTATATATATATATATATATTATATATATATATATATATTATATATATATATCAAAAACTTTGCGTATATAATCATCTCTCTAATTGAGTTATAGGGACAGTATATTCACAGTATATTCTATATATATTATGGAGAACGTATTATAGTGCCTATTTAAGACGTAATAGCAACGCTACTAACGATGTGATTCAATCGACTCACAGAACCCCTCTCAGATTTATAGTACATATAATGTAACACTGATAATATAGGTAGCTATCACCATACGGGAAGCTAGTCAGCTTCCATTGTTGGCCTGCAGTACTACTTCACGTGTTGTTTACGTGACCTTTCGTTAGGGACGAAACGGCCAAACGTATCGTAGTCTGTCACGTTGTAGTAAGTAACCGGCCTTAGTTTTGGCCTGCGATGAGTTGTAGCAGGAATTGTATTGCTGGGAGTCTTTATTCGCCTGCCGACCTCGGCCAGTAGGTAATGGCCAGCTCGCCAGCGAAAGAAAGAGAGTGGCTTGGTTTAACTTGGTCTTATCTAATCGAGTAGAGAGGAACAGATCTGGGTAACTTCGGAACTTGGTTTGATCCATCAGTTAGAAGCAATGGTGACGATTATTTAGGGTCCGCTCGCTGTGAATAGATCTCGTAATGCGCTATCCCCGGTTCTGCCCAATGCCGGCTCGGTGCACATTTAAGCCTTGGTCATAGCATGCCAAACGTTTAAGTTGAATGGGACGTTTTCTGGATGGATAGGCAAATTCTCGCGCATACATTGCACCCTTCGCGCGTTTGTGACAAATAATTAAAAAGTACTTTTACTTATCTGCATCTTACCATTCCGAAGCGTCAATCTTGTCAACTTTATAACGCTGTACTAAGCGTCTCTTTGATATTGTCTATAGTAGCATCTATTGCCGGTCACCACCTATCATTGTAAATTTAAAGAACCACACAAATTTGTAAAAAAAAAAATAGAGATCGAAGGAAATGAACAGCAGCACATGCAGTGGCCCAGATATATAAGCTCGATGCGTTATGTGGTTTATTCGAAAGGGCTAGGTTTTTTCTAAATACTTAATTTCCATAAA